CAAGCCAGAGGCGCAACACTCGTTATTAATGATATGTTAAGTAGTCTTTTGTAATGGATTTTCTGGTATTTTTGAATAAACTCGTAATTCTTGCAACTTCAGCGAAGCGGTCGTTACCTTCTCATCTCCTTTGCCCTAGATAAACTAATTTGTCTCATAAGTGTGACGCACACCAGAATGTATTTTTGCAAAAATACCAATGATTCGATATTTTGCCGGTGAGTGTAGAATTGTTTAGACAGAATGACTCAAAAAAAATGAATGAATGAAGCAATTTATTTTATCGATCAAACGCTTTACCCCATTTTCCCAAAAATTTGAGGATACAGCATGTTATTATTAGTATTACACAGGGCTTATTCAAATTAATACAAGTGTCCTTTCTAAAATGTTGACGACGTCGTCATAAATATATATTTTTTAAAAGTCACCTGAAATATACGCATAGCATGATTCTTTATTTCTATTATAATAGTCCACACGCATTTTGTTTTAACATGTAGGGGTTATCATAAACAAATCACAAAATCAAATTTTATCATTTAAAAACAAACATTTTTTATATCCTGTATTTCGATCTTTGTTGTGCCACAATTAACCATATTTTACTAAACTAGGCAGCACAATCGTCGATGAACAAAAACATCAATTAATAGAGACTGATAAGATAAAATAATAACCACCATGTGAGTGTAGAGCACCTATAACAAATTGTGGCAGCGTGAATGTTTGATACCTAATGCACCCATGTAATCGCTCACTCGAATTCAGACAAACGTGTTTCCTGTATTTAACATTATAAAAAATGCAATCATTATTTCGAATTCGGAATTATTTCCCAATTTAGCTCTTTCACCCACTACCGATTATATTGACGAAATCAAACTTATCGAGCGCTTAACGTTCCATTTCTGCTGAAACATCGACGCTTGAGTAGCCTTTAAGGGCCCATATGGGAAAATTATGTACATTAGTGAGTAAATTGGGTCGACGATGTCCAGAGAATTCTAACCTAAAAACCGAAATTATCTCAACAGCGCCGTTGAGTCCTAGCAGCGGTGGTAATCCATAAGATTACAGGCACATCCTTACGGGTTTCTCATAGGCGGAAAATAGAAAAGATATCGAGTGGATTCTCGTGATGGTGGATGAGTTTTGTATGAACCACCAGCGGTGATGTGCCTTGGCTAATTCGAGATTTACATCTAAGGAAGAAATTATTTTCTTTGGAGTCTCCAGTGTGTCGTATTTAGGTTGACCCGAGAAAAAAGAAAATTTTATTTTGTTCATTATTTCAAGTAAAAAGAGAGAACTCAGGTTTGTACGCCGTAAACTGACTAATCAGCATTTGAAGAACATATTTGGACAGAAAAAAATAGAGTTTTAGACAGCACGGAACGGAGAAAATTAGAACAATTCCCTCAAAACAGCCAAAAGAATGAATTAACTAAAGTCTTTGTTAATTTTTATGATTACTACAATAAATCTAATTCTATCGTTTTTACATTGAGCAATGAATCCAAATGAAATTCGTTATCTTTAGTGGCAAACTAGTTTCAGAAAAAAAAAATCGCAAATACAGCTCCATTAATTCTGTCTTTAATTAAATTTTTGATAAAATACTTTACAAAAACAAAGTTTTCAGTGTTTTATTAAAAAGAATATTTCTCTTGTTTTTAGAAACTTCCGCACAATACATAATGAAAATATTGTCTTCAATTCTTTCGAGTTTACTTTCCTAACTTGAATGTTGCCTTGATTTGTGTGGGAAAAGGACGCCTATTGCACTGATTCTTTAATATTTAATTGCAAGTAGATAAGTTAATTTTTTAATTCCATTACTCTTAGAGTACGAAAAAGTAGGTAACTTGTTTCCGTCTGTTGTCTGTCTGTCTGTTTTGTCAACTATCATTAGACAGATAATCTTCGAAATCAGTGGACCGATTGTTGTCAAATTTTATGTGTACGTGTTTTAATAACGTGCAGATGAACCAACCATGGGATGACGTCATCTCCAAAATTTAGAATAGTAAATGTTTTTTAAATTTTATATACTCCTGAACTTGTGGTTTAGGAATCCGTGTTGTTTGCGCTAGGCATCCCGATTTTTGCGAAAAAATGAAAATTGCACAAAAATATTTTACAATGTAACTTTGAAATTGCCACCGCGAATGTTCTGAAATCTTTCAAAGGTTTTACGGTTATAGAAAACACTGTAAATCATTAATCACAAAGTATTCTTTTATGGTCTCTACAAAAAATGATGAGGACGTCTCACAATATGGCCGAATAATTTTTCTTTAAATGTAATAATGGAATATACTCCTGCATGTGTGGTTTATGAATTCGTGTTTAATTTTTACCTTCGACATCCAGACATCTAAAAAAAAATTTGAGAAAAAAAAAGAGTATTCTTAATTAATTAATTGGTCTCTCCTCTGTATTGAGGAGACAAAATCAATCAAATTTCATTTGATTGATTTTTTTAATGAGCTGGTGCTTCTCATTTGAACGTTCTAATAGTTGAATTATTTCGAGGTGTAAACATAAACAGTTGAAGTTGAGCATGTGATAAGAAATTGAGATTACACTTTTTTCGGTTGGTTGTTTTAAATATAATTCATATTGTTCGCACTTGTTCGGACCGTTGGAATTTGCGTCCATGTGGCGCAGGGGCTGCTGTTTAATCCACTCCTAAAATCAAACTTTACAATTTTTCAAAGAAGCAGGAATTTTTTGAATTTATTTCAGAAGCAAGACAAGTTCTGTCGAAATAACTTTCGACCAATTTATTAACAATTTTTTTTAATGTTTTGAGAACTATGCATGTTCTTAAAAGAATTACAGTTAAATCGGTCGAAGGTTATGTCGCCAGAACATCCCGCGATCCTGTGACGTAAATAACACTTACAGAGCCCCTGCGCCATGATGGCGCAAATTCTAAGGAGCCGTGGTCTGCACAAGTGCGGACAATATGAAATACATATATTTAAAGCAGATAACCAATGGGAAACAATGTATTTTTAAGTTCTAGTACTTGTTTAACTAGCGACTGCCCTTCTTTATGCTTCGAAAGAATTCGACAATTACGACGTTCATATCATATCAGCACCGACATCAAATTATGCATTTGTATTAAAACAAACTGAGATTTGATTGATTTTGTCTCCTCGACAGAGGAAATTAATGAATAAAGTATACTCGGTTTTTATACACGATATTCCTAACATTCACACAACAATCGGTGAGGTAGTTTCGAACAGACGCTAGACAAACAGGCAGACAGACGGAATTGGAAACCCATTTTTCGGTACTTTTGGAGTCAGAAAATTTGAAAGTAGTCAGTCGCCCAATAGACTCGATAACAATACTTTCTTAGCATACACTCGGGAAGTAAAAATTAGTTCCAATTTTTGAGCTAACACTGAAATGCTGACTAATGAGAATTGTTGAATCGCTACATAGGTATCTTAGAAATCATGCTGTTTATTGACCTTTATGGGAATTATAAAAAATTGGTCTGAAGTTGTTTAGGCAGAACTTCCCTTGTATTTGAGGTCCAAAAATCAAACAACAAATTCAATGTTCAGGAAAAAAAAACGTCAACAAGGAACTCAGCGGAAAGATCCCAACGAGAAACTCAGTGGCGTAATGAGCACGGCTACTCAAGGCGGATTGATAAACCAAAGGTATAGCAGCATATTTTAGTTTAATTTACAAAATTTTGAGGGGATGCCATCACAATGTTGGTGGGAATGATTAGATACATTTTGTTTAGGGTTTTACTTCTGTATGACATTAATAAATTTGTACATAATCGGTCCAGTAGACACACAGATGGAACCGAGGAATCTATTTTTTCGTACTCTACGAGTTATGAACCGTCGTGAAAACATGAAAGTAGCCAGTCGCCCGATAGATTCTGTTACATATTTCCTTAGTTTACACTTGAGAATTAAAAAAAGGTTTAAAGTTATTTAGGTAAAACTTCCCTACCCCTGATGCACAATCAAGCAAGTTCTTGGTAGGAATATAGAAGTTGATTGTGCAGATTTTTTTTTTTTTTTGCATAGCATCTAGAAATAAAAGCAAACCATAATATTGGGTTTCCAGAATTTAAGAAAAATTATATTATTATGAATTAAATTAATAAAACCTTAGAATCAATGATATATAAATCGATTTTTGTATAAACGAAATCAGTTTCAAGTACTATTTTTTTAACCGTGTGATAATTGTAGTCTTTTTTACTGGCGCTTGTGTTCATTAAAAGCTGTGAATGAGTGCTGGCAATGGAGATAAATTCTTAATTCGTTGGATCGTCTTAAAATATATGTACACACATAGGACTTTAAATAAGGCAGAACCTCAGGAGAACTTCACATTTAAACTTGCCATAAAGGCGGTTAAAATAGCTTGCGTCAGTGATTCCTATGGACGAGTAAAAAATGTTGCTGGAAATATGAACACTATTTGTAAAGAAGTTATAATCTCAATATATATTGAAAATGTCAAACTGTTTCTTTTTTCTTTCTTGTTGCGAAAGTTAGATCTTTTCTTTACATAAATGTACGAATCTGAGTGTACTGTGCCATATGCATTAGAATCCACAATTTCCGTGCTCTAGAAATAAGCAAACATTTTCTTCGTACCACTTGCACATAATAAAAACAAAGTGACCCTTGGGAGTCCAGGAAGGTGATTATTAAAAACTACCTGCCGTCTCTACTCATACAAGAACATACAAACATCTCTCAACGGGCTAATACAAGGAATAAATTCATTTCAGTCCGCTTTCTGTTTGAATGTGGCATAACCTACATTTGCGTAATTATTGAGAGACGAGCGCCTTTAGCCCTACGGGTTTGTGTTACGACTTTAGAAATGGGAAAGAGAAAATGTGTTCGCGCTAGGAACAAATTGAAAGGAACGAATTAGTATTGGATGGAGCGATGACATGAAACATTGAGAGTTATTGCATTACAATATGTAGGTTTTACCTTTTTCGTCGTGTCGAGGTCCTTTCCGGATGCTAATGGATTGGCCGTCCTCTCGCCTCCAGGCTATGCGAGGTGTTGGATGACCGGTTGCCCGACACCAGAGGGTTGCGTTGTCGCCCTCTGATACTGAGAGGTCGCCGCTTGTGTCGTCGTTGATTATGTCGGGGGGAACTGAAATGAATGAGTAGGGGTTAGTCAGATGAGACAAGAATCGAATTGAAGAGAAAGTGTTTGTGATTTTTTTTGGAAGCAATTCATAAAATTTTAACTGAATTTATTTCAAAGGTGTAATTTTGAATCTTTGTGTGCAGGTTTGGTGTAGCCAGCGCCACGAAGATGGTTGATGTAACGTTATCTATACCCATACGTCTAAGATTCGATATTTATCTATTATATAGCCATCGTTCTTCCATCAACGTAAAACAAATGGCAACACCTGTTCTCAGGGCCTAGTTTCCACCCGTAGTGTCCTTGTTCCTCAAAATTTCTTGTCAGCGAACACCGAGGTGAACATTGAATTATGCGCAAAGCAGCTTATATAACTTCTAACTCTTTAGCGACAGGCTGTATATAATTTTAGTTTTTAAAAGAAAGCGTTACTACTATTAATGTTAAGATGAAAAAATCTCGTACCGTTACATTAGAAGTAGTAGTAGCATGAGCAGTAAGTAGATGACCTTAATATTTCGTTAGCAGAACATGAAAACAAATAATAGTATGATTATTGTGAAGCTTGTCTAGGTAATAAAGAACTAGAAATAAAAAGAAGGTGAATATATTTTTATGTTTATCTTATGATTATATGTTTGTTGTTAATAATACTGAAGTTTCTTTGACGATTGTCAAAAATAATAAATATTATTGTGTGACGTAACAAATTTAGAAATTAGATTAGTTTGTTTTTCAGAGTCTGAAAAATAGACTAGTACCTAATTGCTTGTTAAAATTCCTTGGTATCAGTATCGCTTGTATTACCTACACTAAAATAACCCACTCTATACCTCTAACCACTAGTTATGTTTCTAAGGTTTCCTAGCTGTATTTTGCAGGTGATTTCCTGTTGAAATAGAATAACTCATTATGATACAACAAAAAATTGGTCGAAGGTTATTTCGGCAAAACTTGCCTTGCCCTTGAGGTATAATTCGATATAATTAAATCTAGCTTTTTAAAAAAATGATAAAATTTGATTTTACGATTTTCGTTTTGTGATAACCTCTGTAAAGTAAAAATCAGTGACACATCCCCGTAGCCCTTACGGCGTACGGACAATGAAAGGTAGATATACATATTTATTTACTCGTAAATAACGGGATAAAATGTCCTTTAGCACTAGGTGATAGCAATCTGAAGCTCAAGTGTCTATTTATCTTTATACATCGAAAAAATGTCATGTAGAAATTAGTTTGATTTCAATGAGTTGGTCGTCTTAAAGCAGAGGACTAAAATTATTAATTAAACCATAATTGAAAACATGTTCTGAATAGGTATTATAATTCTTATTTTATCATTATTATACATATAAAGACGTACGTATTCTCACATTCTCGAGAAAATGGGGTGACTCGCCCATAAATTGCCCAATAAAAAATTTGTAATGATGTCATCAACATGGATAATACTAGTCACAGCACAAAAGAAAAGTATTACCAATGCGTTTGTGGAGAAAGGCACTGAGCCACGGAGACTTAAAACCTGTGTTGGTAATATAATGTTATTATATCTTGCAAATATTTTTGCGAAAATTTGAACTTTTAACGAAAAAACTGAAAGAGGATTCGTACACTAGTAGTAGAGGAGTATATTTTTGTATAATATTCAAATTATTTTAAAATACAATTAATTGAGAAGACGTCATCAAATTGTTGGTGTGGATGATTTTGCTTAGCGTTTAACCATCTACATGATATTTCTAATATACATACAAAATTTGACAACAATCGGTCCACAGACAGACAAACAGACAGACAGACAGACAGACAGACAGACACACAGACAGGACAGACTGACAGATAGCCAGCCAGACAGACAGATACACTGAAACGGGAGACTACTTTTTTCGTACTGTAGGAGTCATGAAACGTCGAGAAAACATAAAAGTGGCCATTTGTCCGATAGACTCGATTACTATTCTTTCTTAGCTTACACTCGGGAAGTAAAAATTGATTTTTAACATTTGAATGAGTGGTTAGGGTGTTATGGTTTATTTTGTTGTAAATTACTAGTAAATATACTTTATCTTCTTCAGTCATCTGTAAGCTCAGGAAGAATTGTAATAGTGTCTAACCGACAAATGTTTCATGTTTTCTGGACGTTTCATGACCCGAAAATACGAAACAATAGGTCTCCCGTTTCCGTCTGTCTGTCCGTTTATCTGTCTGTTCGTTTGTCTGTCTGTCCGTTTGTCTGTATGTCCGTTTGTCTGTATGTCTGTCCGTCTGTCTGTCTGTCCGTCTGTCTGTCTATCCGAGCCTGTGTCGATTTTTATTAGATAGATATTTTTCGAAACTAGTGAAGCAATTTTGTCAAATTTTATATATATGTTAAGAAAACGGTGCAGATGGTAAAACGCTAACCAATATTTTTTTCATCACCCATACCAACAATGTGATAACGTTATCTCCAAAATTTATAATAGTAAATGTTATTTCAATAAAACAATATGCTGCATTTCTGGTTTATGAATCTGTCTAGAGTTTTTACCCTATATATTTTTTAAAACTGAATGCCCTGAAATTTTGCAGAAGTCTTTAAGGTTGTCGTAAGCATGGTAAATCGTTATAAAAATTTTATATATTTATCCCCTCCCAAAAAAATGTTGCTCAGATCAAAATTTTGCCGAATAAATCCTACCTAAAATACGTAAAATATTATGAGTCTATATGCCGCGCGTATAAAAAAAAATAAAATTACACTATTTTACGAAGAAATGTTTGTTGGATATATTGGTTATCTTGGGTGTTATAATCTTAAATTTCAACATTGTGGCAGTGTTGATTATGATGGTTTTTAGTTTGTTGATCAGTTTGTTATTTTAAATATTTCAAAACTTTTAAACTTGTTATTTTTTACTTCCTGAGCGTAAGCTAAGATAAATGCAATGATAAATTACAAGTATAGACTGATCATATTTTGCACATTTTAGATAGGATTTATTCGGCAAAATTCTGAGATGACGTCATCAATTTTTGAGGGGGGATGAGCATAAATACATTTTGATCAAAAATTTACCATATTTATGATAACTTTAAAACATCTCCAAGATTCAAACCATGCGGTTTGATTAATATGAAATTCACATTTAAAACTTCTAGGTATATTATAAACAGTCGTTTAGTGGCGGTTAGTAAAGGTAGGCATTTTTTAAAACTCGCAAACTGTGAATTATTTATATAAGACGATTCTGAATATTCCATAGTTTACTGGATTATCTAGTCCGTAGCCGACAAAATATTTATCTTGTACGTCGCCCGCATTAGAAATACGGGATTATATGTCCATTCTCTTCTACTTAAGCCCCATCGAATCGCTGAGTGATTAGTGTGGAACAGTGAACATGGTGACAGATTCGGCTGCCCCCGATAAAATTCGGTGGTCGTCGTCGCCGTTGGATTGGGTGCTGTTTTTATTAATTCCATCGGGGATTCCACAACTGCGCCTTTTTTCCACATTAGGGGTACCGACAATTACAGTACTGACTTGAACAATTTTGCAGATATTATGACATATGAACAACAAAATCAGTCCCTATTTCACCAAAACAGATGTACTGTAATCTGGAATTCATTTCACTATAATTGTATTGTTCTGTTTGTTCTGTACACCACCCTCTTAAAGGCAAATTTACAGAAAGAAATTGTTTCTAGGCCAAATTCTTGCAAAGATTTTTGGAGCTAACTTTGCTTACTTTATAGATTTAGCTATAAGTCACCATCAGTTCGCTCACTTGTTATTCGTGTTTTTGATTGAATACTAAAAATTTAGAATTAGGTTCATCCTAGATTCCTAGTATTTCTCATCACTGGTACTTCTAGACATTTTTTAAGGACTTACTTAAGTATAACCACTAGTAAAATGCTACAACTGTTCATTAGTTCACAGAAAAATATAATAGTGTCCCGGTGATATTTAAATGCTCTACACTATTAATATCACATTTTCCTTTAATTGTTTGTAGAATTCGGCTAAGCTTTGTCACTTCCCTAGTCAACCAGATTTCACTTTTTGTCGTATATAGCATGACGTAAAGTTGACACATAATAAAAAAATTGGTCTAAAGAGTTTAGACAGTACTTCCCTCGCTGTCGGAAACGTGTCGACTGCATGCCTATTATGTTTTTCTTTCGCAGTAGATTTCAAAGCATTCGGTTTTGTCCTGAGTTAACCAATAAAATAAATTTACGCATTCATTTTTTTTTGAGTCACCCGGTATATGCAAATTCAAAAAATATGAGTGGAATGATAAATTACAAGTACAGATTCATCATATTTTGTATATTCTAGATAGGATTTATTCGGCAAACTTTTGAGCTGACGTCATCAATTTTTTGGAGGGGATAAGCAAATATATTTTCACTAAACATTTATTATGCTCTTTATAACCTTAAAACACCTGCAAGATTTCAAAGCATTCGGTTTTGTAGTTCCTGATTAACTCAATAAAATAAATTCACGCATTCATTATTTTTTTTGGGTTACCCTGTATATGCAAATCCAAAAAATATGAATGGAATGATAAATCACAAGAAGAGACTCATCATATTTTGTACATTTTAGATAGGATTTATTCAGCAAAATTTTGTGGTGACGTCATAAATTTTTCAGGAGGGATGAGCAAGTACATTTTGATCAAAAACTTACCATGCTTATGATAACTTTAAAACATGTTCAAGATTTCAAAGCATCCGGTTTTGTAGTTCCTGAATAAATCAGTAAAATAAATTTAGGCATTCATTAATTTTTTTGAGTCACCCTGTATATGAGAATCCAAAAAATATGAATGGAGTGATAAATCACAAGTCCAGACCCTTTATATATTGTACATTTTAGATAGGATTTATTCTTCAAACTTTTGAGCTGACGTCATCAAGTTTTTGGAGGGGATAACCAAATATATTTTGACAAAAGATTTATGATGCCCTTTATAACCTTAAAACATCTGCAACATTTCA